AAAAAAAAATAAAACTAAGAAAAAAAGAAGGAGAGAAAGCAGCGATGCTTGGGGTTTCGCTTCTGTTTCTGTTGTGCAGGAGGGAGGGGGCTGAAGACTGAATCCTGGGCATCTCACACGCTGAGTGTGCGCTGTACCACTGCAGGGCACAGTGGGCACAGGGCCCAGGGTCCCCCAGCAGCCCTACAAGCCACTCCCAGAAGCTACAGTTCTGCTGCGCACAGTTCAAAAAAAGTCGGCTCCCAAGGGCAGCCAGCGGGCCAGGGGCCATTCTGCCATGGAGAGGTGTGAACAGCCGCTCCTAGGCTGGAATCAGTCCTGCACTTCCCTGGGCCAGGGTGTGTGTGGGCCAAGAAGGGGCACCATCCCGTGGGAGCCTGCGTCCTTCACCAACTCCTCCCAGGGTCCTCCCAGCAAGCCCTCGCATGCCCCACCAGTAGAATGCAAAGCCGCTCAGCGGTGACAAGGCCCGCCCACGGTCACCCTTACCGTCAGGCCCAATCAGAGGCTCCTCTGGGCACGATGCTTCTACAACCCACTCTCGGGGTCCTGCTTTGAGAAAGACCTCGTGATAACATCACCCAAAGGCCCAAAGGTGAGCCAGGCCATTGGGACGGCAGCTGCTGATCTGCTGGGGAGCATGTGTTTTGGAAGTATTTTCTTTTGTTTGCACCAGAATTCAGAAATGTGTAGACGCTGGTGTTTCTATTGTCTGGGACGCTGTCAGCTGAATTTTCCAAAGCTTCACCAGCAGAAGCATGGAGATTTTTCTGAATTGAGACTCTCAGTTAATTTTAGAAAACAATCCAACCCTGGCATTGTGGATGTTCTGGTTCTAGAACAGTGATTCTGAGCGTGGCCCCTGCATCACACCATCTGGGAGCTGGTGAGTAATGGAAACGCCCCCGTGGATCCCAGACCTACTGGGGCAGAATTTCTGGAGCCAGGACCTAGCAGTTTGGGTTTAACACTCTCTCCCAGTGATGTGGAAGCACAGTGAGTCTCAGAACCACTGGTCTAAGACAAGGACACGCATTTCTGAGAAAGGGACCAGAGAAATGAAGGCAACCTTGAAAATTAGCCTTGACAACTTGCTCATGGGGATCTAGAAAGGCTGTTAAAAACCCCACCCCTACAGAATGAGCATCCAAGTTCATTAAAGTGACGATTAGCTAAGGTTTAATTCAAAAAACACTTTACCTTCAACCTTGGGTGTCAAAATCTCTCTCTTTTCTTCTGCACTTTCCTTCCACCCTTGTTTCCTTTCCAGCCTCCCCTCCTCTTCCCGGATTCTTCTCCCAGTCTCTGGAAGTTCATTTCCAGCCTCAAGACCTCCACAGCAGGAAGCCAGTAGCCCTGAGAGCGGGGCTTTGTGTTCCTCGGCTTACACCCTGCCCTCCCTGCCCGTGCTCCTTCCCACAGATGCACAAATGGCAGGAGAAGCCTCCACCGAGAGGCTGGGAATGTAGAGAAAGGTGGGGACAGGAGCAGAGCCCATGAGGGTGTGTGCCTGGGCAGGCTGCCTCATGACAGCAGGCCCCATGTGGGGACTCAGTGGGCCTCTCCACTGCACTGTCACTGGGAGCCGGGACACCTGGGTCCCACCCTGTCCCAGTGGCTGAGGTTCAAGCCCAGGACCATGCCTCCTGTGGTCACACAGGTTCCCACAGCCCTGGAGACCCAGGAAGCCATCAGCATGTCCAGTGCATCTAGGTGGCAGTGGACGGGGACCAACGTCCAGAGCCAGGGCCATCTTTAACCTACATCACCTGGCTCTGTGTCTGGCTTCTGAGGGCTGCAGATGCCCTGCCTCTCCCTAGGAGGGAGAAAAAGATTCCTGTTCACTCCCCACGTGTGGGCTGTGGGGCTCTGACGCCTTTGACCCTCATGGGTGAATTTGTTCACTAGCAAAAGGAAGGTGTTCGACTGCATGTTGTCTGAGGGGGCTCCTACCCTGCCAATAACCAAACGCCGTTCTGGAGCTCCCTGAGAGAGCGGGGACCTCCCTCGGCTGGCATCTGCGTACTCAGGCACGGTTTCTACTGCATCCGAGTACCAGCTGTTCCATCACCCACTCTGCATTTGTCTGTACACTGATTCCCTTTTACTTAGATTTATTTGATTTTTTTGTTTGTTTTTCTTCTGGTACCAGGAATCGAACTCACAACCTTGCGCTTGCCAGGCAGGCGCTTTACCACTGAGCTAAATCCCCAGCACCTACTTAGATTTATTTGAAAAGGAACATTTTATATAAGTTGCTACACATAAAAGGAAATCATGGGGCTGGGGATTTAGCTCAGCAGCAAAAGCGCCTGCCTGGCAAGCGCAAGGTCGTGAGTTCGGTTCCCGGTACCGGAGAAAAACCAAAAAAAAAAAAAAAAAAAAAAGGAAATCATAAAAATCTGTGACTATCAAACACATTATTCTGTGCACCATCTAAACTCACCATCCTTCCCACCAGGGTCGGGCACGGCACCCTCTGGGGAAAACTAAGCTGGTGCCTGTCGCATCAAGGGCTGTGTCCTATGACCACAGGCTGCCCACTACCATGTGACAGGCAAGTCACATACTCGTACAGAACATGTCATTTAATCCACACTGGACTTGTAGGCATCCTTCCATGCCAGTGATGGTGGGGACCATTATGGTTCCCATTTCACAGATGAGGAAGACGAGGCTCAGAGAGATGAGAGCCGTGCAAGGTCATGTCAGCAGGCCACACTCCTCTTCTGGACAACACAGCTCCTTGTGAGCAGGAGGGAATGGTCACACGACCCCTGTGCTGGTCCTCATGGCACTCTGGGGATCATCTTTTCCCAAAACCTCCCTGATGTTCTTTTTTTTTTTGAGACAGGGTCTCTCTATGCAGTTCAGGCTGGCCTTGAGCTCACTTTGTAGCCCAGGCTGGTCTCGAACTCACAACGATCCTCCTGCCTCAGCCTCCTGAGTACTGGGATTACAGGGGTACACCACCACATCCGGCAATCCCTGATGTTCTTATGAGGTGGACACTTCAAACACCCATGCTCTGTGTCTCAATGTGCTCCTACACAAGGTTGTTGGAGCTGTTAAAGGCAGGGACGCCTTTTCCTTAGTCCGCATTGTCTATACTGACTTATTTTTCTACTGAGAGCGTGTACTGCTGTTGTGATAAGAAAAAGAGAAGAGGTTTTAAAACCACTGTCACTTTGCACTGGGGGTAAAAAGAAGAACTCCACACCTGTGATCCCAGCACTTGGGAGACTGAGGCGGGAAGACAGTGAGTCAAGGCCAGCCTGGGCCACACAGCAAGACCCTGAAAGAAAACAAAGAGGGCTTCCATTCTTCCTCTTCCTTTTGGTCTGCCTGAGACGGCACTGCATAAAGGCCAGTCTTCTGAGGGAGTCCAGAGAAAAAGCTGCTTGCAGTGAGGACAAACACTCTCTAAGCTCCACAGAGTGGGGTGAGGACAGGGCTGAGGGCCTGAATTGGCACCTAAATGAAAGCGGTAGGTACCGATGTCCTTGAACATGGTGGCCTGTGAGCAAGATGATGCCCCACTTGGCAGCCTGAGATCGCCACCAAAACCAAGCATGGGATGAGCAGAAGGTGTTAGATCAGTTGGGCATTCTGGATGCTGAACACACAACACTCCCAGCTCCAACGACAAGGGGCACAGAGCCGCCACTGTCACTGCATGGGCCGAGCAAGGAGCCCATGTCCTTTGGCTTCCCAAAGCTCATCTCACTGCCATCTTCATCTATGGTATCCCATTTGGCCTGAGTGAGCCCCAGACACGCCCCTTTCACAGTGTCCCGGTTGGACAACACTTCATGTGCCCATGTAGAGTAGGGGCACCAGAGGAGGGTGACACCCACTCAGCAGAAAGTGGTTTCCCTGGACTCGAGTCTTGGTTTTTCCACTGTGGGCAGAACAGTCCTTCACAACAGCAACGGGTCAAAGCTAGGACACGGCAAATACCCTGAGCTAAGTGTGGCTGTCTGTTGTGCAATCCCTTGTGGAGAAGAACCTAAGGCCCATGTGGGCACAGAGGCAAGAGCCAGGAGTTTTATCAGCACCATAACAAGGTTACGGACCTGAAGGAGGTGGGCGACGGTAGCCCATGAGCTCTAAGGGAGCAGCGCTTCATCTCAGTTCTCTAGCCCCTTCCACTCTGAAAAGACAAGAAAGGACAAACCCTAAAGCTCTTTGCCATCACCGATTTTGTCCAACCTTTTCATCCACGAATATTCTGCTATCAGTAGCAGAGTTCTCCCCGACAGAAAATCCAGCTAATCAAGTTCATGACGAGAGGCAGGAGGAGAGAAATGGGCCCCGCATAGGCACGCTCCGCACAACCCTGCAGGAAGGGCTCCAGAGAGAAGCTGAGCTCCCCGGCCATGCCCTCACCCACGTGGGGCTACTTTTCACACCCTAACAAGAGGGGGCTTTGCAGGAAATGGAAAGTTCTTCCTCTGTTACCTTGAGCCTTTCCCTGTGGAACAGGAATCTCAAGACCCTTAGCCAGTAGTAGAATCACTGTGTCCAAATAACCACTGCCCAAAATCATGTTCCTCTCTCAATTTGCTATGTGGATCAGTGTTTGAATAGGAAGACATCAGCTGGTCACTGCGACACTGGCACATGTTGGTAGCCTAGTGTTATAGTCTGATTTGTCCCTAAGTGTTCATGAGCTGGGATCTGGGTCCCCAGGGTGCCAACATCAAGAGGTGGGGGGATCTTCAAGATGTGGAGACTGGGTGGGAGGTCACTGCCAGTCCCTCCCTTGGCCCTGGCCTCCCATCTTGCCACATGATCTCTCCTTGTTATGGCCTCCCACAAAGATGTTGCCCACTGTGAGGTATGGAGCCAGGGGTCCTCACTAGATGCAGCACCATGCTGTTTGGACTTGCAGCCTCTGAAAGTATAAGGTAAGGAAGCCTCTTTATAAATTAGCCAGACTTGGGTATTTTGTTACAGTAATAGAAGACAGACCAGTACACCTGGTATAACAGATAAGCTTCACAGTCTGTGTTTCTCTGAGGAAACCGAGCATCCTAGGGTGAGAAAGGTGCAGAAATGAGCATGAGTTTCATGCACAAAGACTGGGGAAATGAGGAAACTCAGGAAGAGGACAGCAAAAGAAATATGGAGTCTCCTACAAAACACAAACAGGAAGTACGCAAAACAACTGCTTCCAGCATTCAGCTCAATGCTATAACCACGCTACCAAAACCCAAAGGCATGCACAACTTACCTTGTTTAGCCGCTCCAGCATTTCCTTCAGCACCAGCTGACACTCGCACTCATTTTCATACCTGCATGTTGACACAAAAGCAAGAGTTGGCGGCATCCACAATTGCACACAGTCACCTGAAGGTCCATGTGAGACAATTCACCTTTCAGGAGAAGTCAACTTTAATTATAAAGAAGTAGCTGATTCTCTACTTCCTTGGCCACTGCTTCTAGACCTTCACACGCCATGGTGCATGAGAAAGTGGTGACATTTGTACATTGGGAAAGACAATAAGGCAAACAGGAGTCACCCGAGCAGTCCGACAACCACCTCCCACCCAGCCAGCCCAAGGTGGAAGGATTCTACCTTGGCATAAATGCAACACAAACACAGCCTGGCACCACCTTTGAGGCCACCAGGCACGGGCTACAGCATCACCATTGCCCTGGCTTGTGACTGCCCATTCTGCAGGAAGCAGCAGATGCAGAGTGGCCATGTTTCTGGATTATGTCACTTACTCCTCACAACAGCTGAAAGACAGCAGTTATTGCTATTCCCATGGGATAATGAGGATGTCAATGCTGCCAGCACTTGGCCCTGGTCTTGCCCAGCAAAGGCCTCCTTCAGGCCATGTGCTATTAGTGCCCTTAACTCTGATGAAGGCGGTGGGTGCATAAATACCCCAGCTCCTTCAGGCTCAGCAGAGACAAGGGAGGCACTTTCTACACCCACAGGAGGAGCTCTAGGCACCTGGACGGTAAGGTGCTCCATAAGGCATCTGCCATTAGCTGCCTCCCCTAATCTCTCACCACTCCATGCAATACCAGGATTCCCTGGGGTCACCCCCAAACAACAACTGGCCCCAGAATCCCTGTCTTCCATTCAGCTTCTAGAGGCCTCCAAATAAGAGAGAACTCGGACACGCAAACCTGAGGCCTGAGGGTGCCCTGCACTTCTGGGTGGGGTGGGGAAGCTCCCTGCTGGCTGAAGCCACTTGGCCAGAGCCATACTTGGAATACACACACACAATGAATCAGGCAACAGAGTCTTGACCAGGTGTGTTTTTCTCCTAGTCAGCTTCTTTCCAGATTTCCATAAAATGATAAATATCCAGAAAGCCAGAAATCATTCTGGTCAGCAAAGGCTTCCCTCCGGGGGAATTTTACCCCTGAAAAGAGAAGATCCTTTCCCAAATGACCTCTCCTTCGTTCCCTGTAATCTGTCCCCTGATGTAGTAACAGCCCTTGAGGTCTGGCACGACCCCAATTGTCTAGAAGGAAAACTACATTTCCCAGCAATCCTTGCAGTAGATATGGACATGTGACTAAGTCCTGGCCAATAGGAAGGAGGCAGAAGCATGGGCGGCAGCTTCCAAGTACTTCAGAAGGTTGGCAACACAGTAGGTGCTCTTTACCTCTTCCTCAGCTGCTGCCCCTCTACCCTGCATCCTAGGACACGGGTGCTGCCCAAAAGCAAGCTCCCTGCTGGCTGATACTACCCGGCCAGGACCACGCTTTAAGTAGCAACAACTTCCCGGGTGTCACCTCTGCTGCCGCTTGGCTGCCCAAACCGTCAGTTCCAGTTCCTGTGCAGCAGGTGGAGACTACTGTGTGTCTAAGCCTCAGTCTCAGGCAGGCATGGTGGCACTTGCCTGTAATCCCAGCACTCTGAGAGGCTGAGGCAGGAGAATCACAAGCTCAAGCCCAGCCTAGGCACCTTAGTGACTTAGCAAGACCCTGTCTCAAGATAAAACAAAAAAAAAATTAAAAGGAGCTGAGCGTGCAGGACAAAAGCAGTGTGTTCAACTCCCCGTACCCCACCCCGCCCCTTCCCAAGGAAACCTCAGTTCCGTTCTGTAAAATGTCGCGGTAAGGGTAAGGCTGCAAGGGTTAAATACAATTGCAAGATCACTGCGCTGAAAGAAGCCTGGCATAGAAGAGGAGATGTCGTTGCAAATTCTAGAACAGGCAAAATTAATCTGTGGTGACAGAAATGAGAAAACGGTGCCTCGGGCTTGCGGAGGAGGGAACTTGGGTGGTAAAAAAGCTCCCGCTGCCCGGACGCCTGCACGGGACAGACGCGTTTGCCCAGACTCACTGAGCTGTGAGCTTACAATCTGTGCACTGTAAATTACACCGAAACTTCAAAATACATGAGAAGCAAATGGTACCATTTCATGTACCCTTCATCAAAATGAAGGCCTGGCTTACTTCTCCCACCTCCACTCCAGTCCTGGAACCTGAACCACCGTGGGCCTTCCTTCCCAAGGACCTACATTCCCCAGCCTCCCCTACTTTTGGGGGGACAGGGCTGGGCTTGAATTCAAGATCCTCCTGCCTCGGCTTCCCAGCATGCTGGGATCACTTGGGCTGTCCCCTCTGCGGTGCCTCGGTTTCCCCGCGCGCGGCTTACTTGGTCCGGAACTCGTCGAGCGCGCGCTGCGCCTCCACTCTCTGGCGCTGCAGCCGGGTGCGCTCAACCTCCAGGTCCCCCGCGCGCCTCCGGTTGGCCTCGGCGTGGCGCGCCAGGGTGTCCTCTGGCCCGGCCAGCTCGCCCAGGCGCCGGAAGGCATCGAGCTGCCCGCGCAGCCCCGCGTGG